TGGTCGGTGCTATTGACGGGACGCACATAAAAATAATCGCGCCATCAAAAGATGAGGACGTGTTCGTCAATCGAAAGAAAGTACATTCCATCAACACGCAGATTGTTTTCATTCATCATGATAGGGGGACTTGAACGGCGGTATGGGCTGTTATTGAAAGTGTTTAAGTGCTGGAAATATGCTCATTGGATAATAGTTTGCAGGGTGCTTTTAATTGCCTCCTTGATTTAATGCAATTTACGTATTTCTATTGTTTGCTCTCTCTCTTTAACGTGCATATACAACGTCATTATCGTGGTCTGCACAAACTTGTCATCATGCGTGTATTCTGCTAACTGCACTGTCCATAACTATTTGATAGGAATACATTTCTAGCCTAGGCTATTTCCTTGTTTTTCGGTGATTTAGTGGGCTCGTTTGTGGGATGTTGCGGATGAGTTTCACCGAGACCGTCTGCTCTGAACAACCAATCACCGTACTGACCGCTTCTAAACTCATGCACGAGAATCGACGTAATCCATAGCAACGGCGCGTCACTCTTAGTGATTTATCCTTATATGAGTAGGTCTCAGCGGCTTTGTGAATAACTTTTAAGAAAAAACTCCTACGTAAAATGTTTTAGCGCGAGTTAGGAGCACTCCTAGCGGTAAGATAAAATGCTTTGTGAATACGGCCCCAGGTGTATATCAGTATGTAGTGTCTCTACTTTAAAGAGTCCTCTCCTGATGATGTTCTGGGGCCGTATTCACAAAGGATCTTAGGGGTAAAAGTAGCTCTTAACTGGCGAATTTAGGAGAAACTCCTAAACATAATGGGCGTGTCAGTCTTAAATTTAGGACCCCTAATTGTATTCACTAAGAGCAATTCACAAAGTATTTTAGGCCTAAAAGTAGCACCTAAGTCTGGGAGAGCTTAAAAGTCCTCGAGAGGACTCCTAACTCAGTAAGACCTATTCACAAAGAATCTGAAAATGGTTGCGAGACGAAATGTCTTGGAGACAATGGAAGACTGAATTGATCAAGAGATATAGGCTAAATCGTGAGGGTATCAAACTTGTTGTGGAATTAGTGCGGGATGCAATAACCCGATTAGTCCGGAAATAAAATGTTTGGCAACACTACGATATTTAGCAACAGGGAATATGCAACTTTGCAATGCCGACGATTTAGGGATATCGCAACTATCAGTCAGCCGTGCCATAAACCAAACCATCAACGCGCTCTCTAGACCACATATCATCCAACAGTTTATCCGGTTTCCTTTGGACAATCAACAACTACACAGGATCAAAGCCAACTTCATGGCAATGCAGGTATGCCCGGTGTGGTCGGTGCTATTGACGGGACGCACATAAAAATAATTGCGCCATCAAAAGATGAGGACGTGTTCGTCAATAGAAAGAAAGTACATTCCATCAACACGCAGATTGTTTTCATTCATCATGATAGGGGGACTTGAACGGCGGTATGGGCTTTTATTGAAAGTGTTTAAGTGCTGGAAATATGCTCATTGGATAATAGTTTGCAGGGTGCTTTTAATTGCCTCCTCGATTTAATGCAATTTACGTATTTTTATTGTTTGCTCTCTCTCTTTAACGTGCATATACAACGTCATTATCGTGGTCTGCACAAACTTGTCATCATGCGTGTATTCTGCTAACTGCACTGTCCATAACTATTTGATAGGAATACATTTCTAGCCTAGGCTATTTCCTTGTTTTTCGGTGATTTAGTGGGCTCGTTTGTGGGATGTTGCGGATGAGTTTCACCGAGACCGCCTGCTCTGAACAACCAATCATCGTACTGACCGCTTCTAAACTCATGCACGAGAATGCGACGTCATCCATAGCAACAGCGCGTCACTCTTAGTGATTTATCCTTAGTATGAGTAGGTCTCAGCTGCTTTGTGAATAACTTTTAAGAAAAAACTCCTACGTAAAATGTTTTAGCGCGAGTTAGGAGCACTCCTAGAGGTAAGATAAAATGCTTTGTAGGATCTTAGGGCTAAAAGTAGCTCCTAACTGGCGAATTTAGGAGAAACTCCTAAGCATAATGGGCGTGTCAGTCTTAAATTTAGGACTCCTAATTTTATTCACTAAGAGCAATTCACAAAGTATTTTAGGCCTAAAAGTAGCACCTAAGTCTGGGAGAGCTTAAAAGTCCTCGAGAGGACTCCTAACTCAGTAAGACCTATTCACAAAGAATCTGAAAATGGCTGAGAGACGAAATGTTTTGGAGACAATGGAAGACTGTGAATTGATCAAGAGATATAGGCTAAATCGTGAGGGTATCAAACTTGTTGTGGAATTAGTGCGGGATGCAATAACCCGCGACTAACAGGAATAACCCGATTAGTCCGGAAATAAAATGTTTGGCAACACTACGATATTTAGCAACAGGGAAAATGCAACTTTGCAATGCCGACGATTTAGGAATATCGCAACCATCAGTCAGCCGTGCCATAAACCA